GGGGCTAGCCCATTGTGGATCCAGATATCAAGTCTGCAGCTCACACACCAGCGTAAGTTATTTCTCTATAACTGCATGCCCTCCACGGCTGTTACACACACCGAGCCACAGTCTCATTAGCGGATGTGAGGTTGGCACGTACATGTTTGCATTTCCCAAAACTTCTGGGTTTTAATTGCCAGGAAAGAAATCTATCCTTCTTGCCTCCTTAAACCCAAATGCTTAGCAGAATCCTTCCAGTCCTTCGTCTTTGATTCTGCATGGAGAGGTTTTTCAGGAACAAGGGCCACCTGGAGCGGCCCTGTATCTTCATCCAGAGAAGCACAGTGATGAGGAGAGTCTCATGGGCTGAGCACCGGGTGGCCCTGGGTTCGAATTCAGGTTCACTCACTCACTAGCTGTATTGGCCCCGAACAAGTCATTTAATCTCATGTGAGTCTCAATTCTATTTTTTAGTCTGTAAAACTGGGATAATAATACTTACTGTGCAGGGTCATTTAGAAGGTTAAACCAATGCACACATATAAAGCTTTCTATGTGTATATACTAGTATATATAAAGCATATAATAAATGTATATAAAGCTCAGATGTATATGAAGCAAATAATGTATATAAAGTATATAAAGAATGTATATAAAGCTCAGAATTTCTAGTTCTCTTTCTCCAACCTACTTTTCACTTAATTAGACTAAGGTTCTCTTTTTGTCACCATTACCCATGACACCGTGGGTAGACTATCATTTTGAACATTATACAATATTTCTAGATTTTTCCAAAAAAAAAAAAAAAATCTGGTCATCCTGCCCAAACTTCTCAGCCTAAAGAAAAAAATGTCAAAACCTCAGGCTTCCCAGCAGCCTTCTTCCTCTTGGCACTGTTCGAGTCAATCACGCATGAGGCAAAATTCCATTTTTAGCTGAAGCTCATCACTCCTGTTCGGCAGTGGACACACGGGCCACTGAAAAAAGTTAATCTGCTTCCTACTAGTGAGAGCCCATCAACCATGAAATCCATAATCCTTCATCACGAACTGACAGCCATCATTATCCTTTTCAACGGATGCTTTTGAAGAGGTCTGTTTAGTTTGTCCACTTTTCATCTCAATGGGATTCTAAAACTCAAGGGGACCTTGTTGTCCAAGGTGAGTGGGGACGTGCTGGGTTGTTTAGGGTCACGCGACAGAGTGATGTGATGTGCCCTGTTTTCACGGGGACGTCAGTTTTTCAGCCACTTGGAGGTCAGAAAAGAAAGTGACCGCACAGTGTACACATGTCAACATCAGAAATCCCACATTAACCCGAGAGAGGCCGGCGGGGTTGGCAGTGGTCGCTCACAGAAAACCCAGGAATGAAGCAGCAGGTTGATGGGGTGGGGAGCAGGGAACCTGGCAGCCCAGTGCCAGGAATGCGGAAAAGCCTGGTTCGTATCTTTTGCTTTTACTCTAAGCCACCTAGCGGGAGAATTGCTCACACCTACATTAATAACACTAAAACAACCAAAGAAGATTAGTGCCTGGGGTGAGCTGAAGGGCGAATCTGCAGTTTCTCTTTTGACCTCTGCAAAGACGAGCCATGGAAGGGACTTCACACATGTTAGACAGACACCACAGGGCCGTGTCTGATTATTACTCAGCAATACTGACATATTTGCTGGTGGGAAGAGAACCAAGTCCATAGACAATGCCATCGTCTAAATTTTTTAAATGTCCTCGCTGCTACTGAAAAGAGATGAGCAAAATCGCCACCGGAATGTTTTGGACTGGCTTATTTGTCAGTGGGGAGATTGAGTTTCTGGGAGACCACGATGCTCACAGAGGCTTCCGCATCCTCCATATCCGCAGACTCCTCCTTCTCTTGAATGATTTTATTCACAGCGATGAAGAGTGTGCATTATGAAGAGCATCACTCGACATTTAGGAAGCTGCCTTTCAAAAGAGAGCCTGATGACAAAGGTTGAGATTGTGCCAAGTACTGCAAGAGGACCTTTAATCTAATAATTAATGCTAATTAATCACTGAATAGATATGCTAACATTTGGAGATGTAAATGGCCCAGGGGCCAGGAGGAGGCTCCTGATGCTCTGTCCCTCGCGGTGGGGGTGAGGTGAGGTGGGGGTCCGCAGTCTGCCCACAGAGCTCCCCCACACCTCTCCGCCTGCACCAGCACCGGAGGAGGCCCTTCAGCACACAGGGCTCCTAGGAGAGCGAATGCTAGTCCATGTGCTCTTTGTTGTCCACTGAGGCTCAGAGATGGGAGTGATGCTCCAGGCCCGCTCCCCAGGGCTCCTCTCATCACCATCAGAAGCATTTCCGAGCTGCTTTCTATGCAGGGCCCTCTGATGAGCACAGGCTCACAGATGGCAAGTTTTAATTGGCTGTGCTCACACCAAATATCTTAATGAAGAGGAAAAAAATAAGTCAGTTTGTAAACTGGTGTCAAAATTTGCCTTGTTTAGGGAAAACTTAGATGCGAACAATAGAAAATGTCTCTTTTCAACACTATTTTTCCCAATAAAGTTAAGAATTTCTTTTACTGTTTCCCACACCTTACTACAAAACATTTCAAACATATACCAAGGGGAAAGAATTCCCACCGCCTAGATTCTACCAGTAACATTTACTTTACTTGCTTTGTGTCATCTGTCCATCTACCCATCCTACTATTTATCCATCAATATATGTTCTTGATGTATTCCCAAGTAGACTCCAGATAGCAGTTAATAATATATTTTGAAAAGTAAAATCAAAGAATCTCCCTACTCCTATAAGGACAGCTAGAAAATAAGTTTATTAGTTTTATTAAAACAATAGACAAGCTCATTCTGAATTATGCACATAGATATTCAACACAGTTCCATCTACGGGCGCTGTAAAAAGTATGGTACGTTAGCTCAAGGTTTTATCTGCTTGTACCCACCCTGTGGGCGTTTTCAGCACTCTTCCAATTGTTCGTCTTTGTGAAGACATGGCTGTGGACTATAGAGAAACAAGCTTTCTGCTATAAACCATAAGAAAAATTACCAGGATTGTTAACAGGAAGCATCTTTTATTGTTTTACTTCATAATCTAGTATTTCCCAATTATTCCTCAACTGTAGAAATATGAAGATTTCTATGCTTTGATTCCTTATCTATAAAGTGAGTTTTATAACGCAGCCTTGTCGTGAGGATTAAACGTGAGAAATAGGAAACCACTTTGCAAAGCCCTACGAAGACTTACGCACATCTAAGCCAGCATTATCACTAGCAATCATGATGCATCCGTAATAAAACACAGCTGAGGTAATGGGCCACACTGCTACTTGGCTCTTTCCGATCAGTCACAAAGATTTCAAAGGTTAAAGGGACAGAGTATTGGCAGATGCCTTCACTCTGCCCATCGGTACGTCATCTTGTCAAGGACCTAGGAGAACATTGGTGTCTATCACATTGACTTGTTTTCATTAGGGAAGTGTTTGCCTTGGAAACTGTCCCAGCCTTAAAACAATACTTCCATTAGCTGGGCACAGTTCCTATAATTATCCATCTTATCTGACCGGGGCCCAACTATCCTACTTATGCATCCCATTCATGTTGGTGGCTCTATAAGGAGAGGAGGCATTCACTCAGTGTAGGAGAAGGTGCAGCTACAAATGAACTTTGGGTAGAAATTCGTGCATCATAAATGACAAGGGTACCCTAAATGAGAAGTGTAAAGGTGATGGGAAACATCTGTCCCCATATGGGAAAAAGTCTGTTACAAGAGTATCTTATGTTTATAAAGTAGCTTCTGTTTTTGTGTCTTGTTGGACACAAATCAAGAAAGTGAGGAGTAAGGTCAAGTAAAATACTCTAACTAGGGAATCGAGAAAAGATAAAATACGCAGGGAGGCGAGTTCGCCATCAATTCCTGTTATTGAGAACGTGCCAGAGCTCTGGCACTTTATTTTACAGATTGGAAATTACCCTTACCCTCAAAAAACATCCATTTCAAGAAGAGGTTTTTAGAGCAGACAATTGGGAGAAAGAAAAATTAGGAATTGTAAGCAAATGGAATAGGATATGTGATAAGAGAGAAATAAGCATGGTTTGTTATTTCATTAAAGTTATACTCAACAATGAGCATGTCTGCAATATGGACAAAATCACAGCAATGACAAGACCTCTAAGAGGTTACATGTGGTGAGTTACCCCACAATTTAAAGTACACTTTTCACGTAGGAAAAGGAGAACTAGAGGGAACGATTGGTGTGCCTGGGGTTCCCTGGCCCACGAACCCCACCTGAATGGTGCTGACAGCAAGAACATACTTTTTTTTTTTAATCCTCACCTGAGGACCTGCTAGAGAGAGGAAGGGGGAGAGAGGAATATTACTGTGAGAGAGAAACATCATTGATAGGATCAGTTGCCTTCTGTACGTGCCCCAACCAGGGACTGAACCTGCAATCAAACCGACAACCTTTCGGTCCACAGACGATGCTCACCAGCTGAGCCACTGGGCTGGGCAAGGACATACCTCAATAATACTGATATGGTTGCATCAAGCACTCATCCTCTGATGCTGCTAAAACATTCCAACATGCAAACAGGTTCACTAATTTGGTTCCATATTTATAAAACAAACTTTAGTCATACTTACAATTTAGCATCTTTTAAGACGCGCATACCAGGAAAAAAGAAACTGTCCCAAAGGGTCAAGAACTTGTTTGCCCGGCTAGTGAAATTTCTCATTGCAATTACAACAAAAAATTTGGAGGGGGGGGTGCGCACACACATGTGTGTATATTATATATAAAGAGACACATATTCAACATGTATTTCTAAGAGAAACAATAAAAAATCTGAATTTACAGCAATGCAGATATCTAGATATTTGGGCAGAAGTTTGTAGCCAAATAAAATTTTACCATGTTCTAATTAGAACCATGTAAACATGTTAAAGTGCTGTGTGGTAGTTTTGTTCACTGTTTCTGTTCAGTCAACATGTTTCGCTTAACTGCTGACGGCTCATCATTCATCTTACCTGACTGCCCAGGGGGAGGGGCACCTGAGGATCCTCGCGGTAGACAGAGAAACACAGTCAGGACAGCAGCTCTGTTCCCAGCACATGGTTCAATGGCTATGGGTTTGGGTGGCCCCTGAAAAAGAAAACTCATTTTCAATTCGCAGAATTAACACGATAGCGCTATTTTACCTTTCTCCTATCTGTGCTCCGGTCAGCTAACCTGTGCATTCCCAGTGCTTGGGGACACACCATGTAAAATTTTTAAATAGTTTAACTATTTTATTGTAGTAATATTTTTTGTAGTGGTGGCCATTAACATTTAAAAGACATTTTTCTTGGGGACTTACATACTGGTACATATTTTTGTAATTTTTGAAAAGTATTCTTTGCTTTGTTCTATTTTTGGCTTTATTTTCTTTAATACTTTGGGTTTTTTTGGAGTTTTAGGTGCAATTTAGTGGAATTGAGAGGAGGTGCAGAGACTTTCCGTATACCTACCGCCCCCATGCATTCATGGACTTCCCGTTATCAACAGCCCCACCAGAGGGATACTGTTCCAAGGGAAGAACCTGCACTGACACCCCCTAACCACCCGGGTCCGTGGTTTACATTAGGGTTCACTCTGGGTGGTTTGGACAGATGTATGACATGTATCTACCATGCAGAGTAGCTGACTGCCTCCCCCCCCCCCCCATGCATCCCACCCCCTCGCTCCGCCCTGGGAACTACTGCTCTTTTCACTGTCTCCAGAGTTTTGATATCTTTTTAGTATAGAAATGGTGGTTTTGGCTATTACCCTAAAAAACTGCGGGGGAGATATGGGTGACATATCAAAGCAACACTTACGCCACATTAAGTAGAAGAAAACATGCCACTGCTTTAATTATTTAAACAAATGCTTGGTCTTTTTGCACTCATGGCATCTGAACTTTTCAGAGGACTTACGGACATGTGTAGTCATTCGCCGAGAATGTTGTAGAATACTACCATTTCCAGAAAGTTTAATGAGGCATTAAGATAAAATATGTCCCCTTTCATGTAAAACTTAGACGGAAATTTCTGGTGACAATGGTTTTATGTGGTTATAAAGAATTTCTCCTTCACAGCAACATAAATCTCGTGTTTTAAAATTATCCCCACACACATCCATTTTGGGAGTTTTCAATAGAAAGGTGAAAGTGGCCATTGTGCTAGAAGGAAAGGGCATAACAATCTTCCCAGAAAGTGCTGGAAGCCATGCTGCAATACCTGTATCAAGTTACATGATTTATGGTTTTACACTTTAAAGCTTACATTTATTTTAACAGATTTACTTTTGAAAATGTTAAGTCAAAATCAGCATAAGTACATAGACATTCTCCCATGATGTAAATATTTAGAGAATAGGCTGTCCTATTCCAACGCTAGAAGGAAAAATACTACGAATTGTTTGAGCCATATTTCAAGGCTATTGAAATTTATCCTAATTTAATAAATGCAAAGTATATGTGAAGGTCAATTGGTTAAAATATACTAAGAGAAAATAAAATAAATTCAGGTTCCAATGATGGTGATATATTAGCAATACTAAAGTCCTTTTTAATATCCCTAGAGAATAACCTACCAATTCTACCATTAGGCAAGGTTTTCTTTGCTGTTCTATTTGTAAGCTCTCAATATGATGATTGGCAGTATCCAAAATATCCACAGTCATGTTAAGATAGTGGGTTATGAAAATTAGACGGCTTTTAGGATTACAACGAAATAAAACAAAAAAGCAAAAGCAAAGTTGAGAGTGGTTTTTGGTTTAGGGGATTTAGCCAAACAAGAAACCATTTGAGAGCACATGGGTGGGCACTGTTGTCAGGCTACTTCCTGCTGTTTCTAAAGTTTGAAACATGAAATGCTAATGCCCAAAACACCAACTGCAGGGGAAAAACATAACAAAAAACCTGTAAATTTCAGGTAGAAAATGACTTAATTACTTAATACTTTAAACTTCTGAGATGCAGTGACAGATAAAGACTGCGGTGAAATAGCTTGACCGAGCAAAAGGAATTATGCTTGCATAAAAGTCACTTATTTAACAATCTTCCTAAAAGAATGCTCTCTCCCTCTTAATTCTACAGCTATTGTGCAGAAAAACTCAGAAATGTCTTTTATATTGATAAGCCATACAAAAGGAGATTATCATTCTATTTAAAAATCAAATTGGCTTACAACCTTGTCTATTTTGGGCTATAAAATTTTTATAAAAGGATAATAGCAAAAATATGAATTATTCATTATATTGAAAATATTAGTGACTAGCACAGCTCTTTGACACTTCTGGCAGGAATTCACATAATTAAGAGAATTATTTCCAAAGACTCTGGGACAAAGCCCACTTTCAATAAAGATTTTTAAATAAAAAAGAAAAAAAATACTTTTTGCCATTTGAATTTTGCAACATAAAATAGCGAAACCCCATGAATGATACCTCTGATACCTTGAGGTTTGTCAGTTGTTCCGTGATAAATACATAAGCATGAATCAACATCATTCCACAATGACATAACGTGTTTACTGAAGTGTGCAATTTATCATGCATTTTCCATGGCTGCCTTTGAAAGAGATAAGGCCTGGGTTTGCCCACAGCACTTAGCAACTGTGATTTACTTGTAGGCATCTCCGTATTTGTTGTGCCGAAAGGAGCTGGAGTGCGGCCGTGCCAGGAAACATCGCTGGCAGTTATGTAATTAGCAGTCATTGTTTATAAAGCGGGCAGCACTTTTCCAAGACTCGTTTTGTTCACTCTGGTGTTTTTAAAACGATTGCACTCATATTTTCAAGTTCTTGTGTTGGGTGGGTAACAATTCTATGTTAACCCCTTTCCAATTTTCAGCTCTTAGAGACAAGCAAGTTACCGGAGAAGCTTCTGGAATCCTGGAATTTGTCCTTCTTGAAATTCACAATGTTCTCTAAGTGAAGCCACTATTTGATGTGTCCTGGGAAACTGCTTTTAGAAGCACTGGATGTTTGAAAGAGACCAATGGGCAAAGCTGGCTACTTGCTTTTTCTTCTCCACTGGCTCTCTCAAAAAGGGAGTGTATGAGTGAGCGACTCACGTCGAGAAATCGCACTGGAGTTCACCACTGAAAACCCTATGTGCAGCAGCTGAGCACTTAACACTTAACAATTATCTCATGTCCTTGGAACAGGCCTTACAACCTAAGCAGGGTTTAGTTCAAAGTTTTAGGACTCGAAGATAAAAAAGATGTTACTTCCTTTCTCAAAAAACATTTAGTAGTTCCAAAGCAGGGCTTGCGAACTCCAATTCCTTCCCGGCCCCGGTGAGCAGCTGGGTAACAGCTAACATTTAGTAAGTGCCTGCATTATGCCTTGTGCTATGCTGTGTGCTTACGTGGGTTTAATCCTACCCATGACACAGGGACTATTCCCATTCTACAAATGATTCAATTCAAGCACGAAGATTTACATAACTGAGGGTGCAGACCTACTAGGTGACCAAACCAGAATTTGGAACAATGAAGTCTGTCTTCTGAGCTTGTATGCTGAATCACTATGTAACTGTGTACAGTACGAAAGAAAACTATCTTGGATGATTATCTTAACTTACAGATAAGACAATCAAAACTGATAGGGACTACAGAGAACTAGAAAGTTTTCTTTAAAGACATTAAATCTCTCTCGTGGGCTGAGGGCTGCCACTTTGTCATCTCTGTGAAATGGAGTCCAAAATGACATTCCAGGCTGCCAGGCTCCTGTGTCTACGCCCTCATCAAACTTCATCTTTTATTCTGCACCGGCTCCATGTTTTAGTCAACGTAAGTGCTCACTGTTTAACAACTGTGCCCAGGTTTCCAGAAGGTGCCTTCCACCTTCCTAAAGCTACACACCCTCAGAGCCGACTCATCCAGACAGCCTTCCCTGGTCTGAGGGATTCAGTCACTGCCTCTAAAGTTCTTCACTGTACCTTTTATGGACCACTTCATGTTCTATCCCGAATGACCTGTGAGTAAAGGCCCTGTCTTCCCACTGGGACATACTGAGGGCAGGTCCAGTTTCTCATTCATCTCTATCGACTCTGTTCTCACTTTCTGTCTTTGAGGTGCCCAAGCATGTTGCATGCGCTACCTTTTGTGAACCTATGTCTCCCAATCGTTTACTGTAGGTGTTGATGTCCCTGTTATATGTCACTATCAGATTCCTACTCCTCCAAGGATGGTATGGTGTTGGAGTCTTCTTTGCTTTTCCTATGGCATCTACTAGAGTGCGCTTTGCAGCTGGTAAATGAGTAAATGAATAAAAGAATAAATTTATTTTTCACATGGTGAGATAGCTGGTAGGCATGATTCAACTTTATCCAAATTATGCACATTAAAGGGATAATAACATACTGAAAACATTATCTAACACGTTATTAGCTAAAAATTAGCTAACATCTCTTGAGTAGTTACTAGGTTCCAAGTACTGTGCTAAATATTTTACATGCATTATTGTGTCATTTTCTGTTTTATACAAATGAAGAAACTGAAATTCAGAGATGTCAGATAAAATCGTCAGGGTAATACAGGTACTGAGGGGCAGATCCAGAACTGGATCTTAGATCCGTATGATTCTAGCATCTTGGTTCTTAACCACTAAACAATACTGCTAAAAAGCATAGCTTAAGACAGTGTTCGGCAAACTCATTAGTCAACAGAGCCAAATATCAACAGTACAACGATTGAAATTTCTTTTGAGAGCCAATTTTTTAAACTTAAACTCTATAGGTAAGTACATTGTTATTAACTTAATTAGGGTACTCCTAAGGCTTAGGAAGAGCCACACTCAAGGGGCCAAAGAGCCGCATGTGGCTCGCGAGCCGTAGTTTGCTGACCACGGGCTTAAGAAGACAAGGATTCTCTTTCTCTCAGCTTGCAAGTAATAGTAAGAACCAACTTAAGATATCAATTATGAGAATTATATGCATATATCTGCTCATTTCTGACCAGGGTTCTGAACACTTGAGTTCCAGGATCAGTTCTGCCCCCATTTGGTGGTATGGTCTTGAGTGTGTTACTAAGTCAATTTCCCCAACTGGAAAATGAACAAGTAGGTTGGATGATTTTTAAGTCCCTTGAACATTCCATGACTATGATTTATGGACAG